TGTCTACAGAGCGAGAGAGAGAGAGAGAGAGAGAGAGAGAGAGAGAGAGAGAGAGAGAGAGAGAGAGAGAGAGGGGTCTGTTTGCACAGAACTGAACTGAACGAGAACAATGTATGTCTTATCTCGTTCCAAACCTGTATGAGTTTCTGTCTTCTGTTGAACACAAAAAGAAGATATTTTGAAGAATGCGTGCAACCAAACAGTCGACAGAAGCCATTGACTACAGTTTCGTCAAATATCTTCTTTTGTGTTCATCAGAAGAAAGAAACTCATACAGGTTTGGAACGACACGAGGAAGAGTAAATGATGAGAGAATGATAAGTTTGGGTGAAATATTCGTTTAGGGATTTACACATCAGTCACATTTTGTTGAATCTAGTTTTAATGATTGTGTCCAGACAGGATAACTTTCATACACATTACACTGAGAATGACATTATTTTGGGGTGAAATCTGATCTGATGAGGGCGTTACTCACGGTAAACGGACACCAGGTTATAAAGCGCCCATGTGGCCCAATGCTGACTGACCGGAGCGCCGCTCTGAGGGAGGAGACGCAGCATGGGCTCGAACGACCTGCAGACGGATGGACAGATGGGTCAGTGACGAGTCTTTTAAACAGATAACAAGTTAGGGTCTTAACTAGTTTATCAGCCATTTGAGAGGCAAACCTGTATTTCATTAATATGGTTTATTTAATGATGATGCTTGTGTGTCAGTTTTACACACAGTTACACACAGGTCCTTAGAGGACAAAACATTGTCATAAAAATATTATATATTAATATTTTTTTCCGCTTTCACTTACATAGATTTTTTTGACCAACATCAGTACTGATCATAACTACAAAAAATCATTAATTTTCACAGCCCTGTAAATGCCAATTTAATATAAAAAAATGCCACTGTTGTTTTTTATGGGGGGAAACAAATTAAGTTTGTTTTGGATTATTACAATCAATTAAGTGTAAAAAAACAATTAATTTTGTTGCATTATTATTTTATGTGCAGTGTCAGATTTATACCAATTACACACACACCTTTCTCAGAGCACACACACAAACCACACCATTAGAATTACATCATTTACATTCAATTGGCCTTTTTTCCAGCAGAAGCAGAAAACAGGAATGAGTGAGTGTTTGCTCCACTGGGCAAACCTCAGAAAATAGTGCTGGAAAAAAAAAGACGCTGACGTGCCTGTAGTTGATGTTGCGTCGCGAGCTGACGTCCCAGCTCTGGATGGCCGCCCACATTTTGTCCATGACGTGTGTCCTCCTGGGCTCCTCCATGGTCCAGACCTCCGGCCCGTCGAACATGATGTGTGACAGGACTCCGCAGGCGTTATAGGACACCTCGATGCCGTCCGCTTTACTGTCCAGCAGCTCACTGCGAGCAGAGCCGCGGCGTTTAGACACTCACAAACACCGAGCCAACGACGTGCACAGAAACAATTCACACCTGAACACCGTGATGAACTGCTTGGTCAGCAGCTGCGGCCTCAGCGCCTTCACTTCGGCCACGTTACCCAGCAGCCCCAGCATGTTACGGTGCAGCTCCTGCTTATCAGGAAACTCCTGCGAGAGAGCAGAAACCAAGCGGATGAGGGAGGAGCAGAGATTCTGCTGACAATCATTCATTGAGCTGTGAAACAGTATGCAGTGATGAACGGACCTTCAGACAATCCAGGAAGAGGTTCATGCCGTTACACTCCAGAAACATCTGACAGTTATCAGGCGTCTCGTCTGTGATGTTCCAGAGCGCGCTCCACGAGAACTCCATCACCTGATCACACTGAACACACACACACACACACACATCACCGTCAACAGACTAAACCAGAAAAACACATTCTCAGTACCAGAAATAAAATTAACTGAGACAACATAAAAAAATATATAAAAAACAAAAATGCTATCATGACTTGAAATAAAATTAACAAATAAAATAAAAAAAAACATACATTTTATTGCCAAGGCAACATTTCTCATTTTCATTTAGTTTTAAGTTGAAGTACAAAAATAACTAAAACAAAAACTAATAAAAATGACAAAAACACAACACAACTACTGAAAATTCTGTTAAAATTAAAATGAAAACAAAAAGGTAAAATATGAACATCAGTGATACTGAAATAACACAGGCACAGGTGTCATGAACAGAATGAATCGGTGATGAGTCGGATTCAGTAACGAATCGGTGATGAGTCGGATTCAGTAACGAATCGGTGAGGAGTCGGATTCAGTAACGAACCGGTGATGAGTCGGATTAGTAACGAATCGGCGATGAGTCGGATTCAGTAACGAACCGGCGATGAGTCGGATTAGTAACGAATCGGCGATGAGTCGGAGAGTCGGATTCAGTAACGAACCGGTGATGAGTCGGATTCAGTAACGAACCGGTGATGAGTCGGATTCAGTAACGAACCGGTGATGAGTCGGATTCAGTAACGAACCGGTGATGAGTCGGATTCAGTAACGAACCGGTGATGAGTCGGATTCAGTAACGAACCGGTGATGAGTCGGATTCAGTAACGAACCGGTGATGAGTCGGATTCAGTAACGAACCGGTGATGAGTCGGATTCAGTAACGAACCGGTGATGAGTCGGATTCAGTAACGAACCGGTGATGAGTCGGATTCAGTAACGAACCGGTGATGAGTCGGATTCAGTAACGAACCGGTGATGAGTCGGATTCAGTAACGAACCGGTGATGAGTCGGATTCAGTAACGAACCGGTGATGAGTCGGATTCAGTAACGAACCGGTGATGAGTCAGATTCAGTAACGAACCGGTGATGAGTCAGATTCAGTAACGACTCACCATTCTGTCCTGCAGCTTCTTCTGGATCAGATTCAGCATCGTCTGTGACGAGACAAATCAAACCATGAGATAGACGCAGATGCTACACGTTACACGCTAACAATCTAATGCTATTCCCATTAAAAACAACATTAATGAGAAACTGGCGCTATTAGACATATAAACACACATACAGAACCAATGAACCGGTAAACAGAAGCTCAAGCAAACCTCACTGGTTCAGTGTTGAGAATAAAAGCCTAAATTAAATCTGTTCTTCATATGAAGTGATTGTCTCTCCTCAGAAGACTTGGATTAAACTACTCGATTCATACGGATTGCTTTTATGATGTTATGTGCTTTTGTTGGAGGCTTAAAAATCTTGACTAGACTTTTAAAGGATGGACAGAAGTGATGAGGGAATATACAGAATGATCATTTTTGGGTGAACTATCGCTTTATAAATGCAGCACGTTATAGATTTCTGTACAGACACTAAGTGAACCAGAGCTAACATCTAAACTTCACAAACACACAGAGCTCAATGAGGAGCACAGCACCTTGACGAATCCCATCTTGCCGACGGCTTCTTTGTGGTCGTTGTCGACCTGACAGACGAGTGCGTTACACAGATGGACGGCGATGCGCTGGATGGACTCGTCCTGACGCGCCGGCTCCAGGATCTTCAGCAGCAGCAGATTGACTCTGTGATACTGGAACTCCAGCTCCTCAGGAATACTGAAGTTACAGAGCGTCAGACAGCAGTTCCTCTGGACCTGCACACACACACAGACACACACACACAGACACACACACACACACAGAGTCTGAGTGACATGTATTTATCATGCAGTGCTGCCTCAGATCACAGAAGTCTGAACATCCTTCATGCATCATCGGCGTGGGTTCTGTCTGAGCGAGTGTGTGTGTGTGTGTGTTGAACTCACCGTCACCTCCTGGTAATGCTCCATGCCGTTGAGCACCACCTGTATGACCTGTCTGCGCAGACGGACGCTCTGGTCGCTGCGGTACTCGGTGTTGGTGAGGTAAAACAGAGCGGCGCTGCCCGTCACCTGAATGCTCTTGTCATATTTATGAGTCTTCAGCGCTGTGATCACCAGCTGAAGACACACAGCAAACACACTAACTCACACACGTGTTACATGCGTGTGCACTGGGATAGCGCAGTCAGAGATCACATGAGCACACTGCACTGGGGTTTAATATTCAGGTACATTATCAATTTAACTGTACTGAAACTATTACATGAGAAGAAAGCTTGAACTGAACTGAGCTGAATAATGACACTAACTTTGCAACATCAACACTGTTATTTTCCTGTTTATTACAGTGAAGCTGCTTTGAAACAGTCTGTATTGTATAAAGCGCTATAAAAATAAATGACAGCAAGTTCCTCTGTCACACACACACACACACACACTCACTCTCACACACGCACGCACGCACGCACACTCACTCACTCATTCACTCACTCACACTTAGTCTCACACACGCACTCTCTCACTCACACACTCACGCACTCACACACACTCGCTCGCTCACTCGCTCGCACACACACACAGATGCTTGTGTGCATTTTACTTACTTTTTACACACACACACACACTCTCACTCACTCTCTCACACACTCTCTCAAACACTCACTCTCTCTCTCTCACACACACACACACACACACACACACTCTCACTCACTCTCTCACACACTCTCTCAAACACTCTCTCTCTCTCTCTCACACACACACACACACACACACACACACACACACAGATGCTTGTGTGCTTTTTACTTACTTTTTACACACACTCACACACATTTACACATGCATTTACAGTGAAGATGCTTTGAAACAGTCCGTATAGACTGTAGCGCTATAGAAATAAATACTTAATACACACACACACTTAAACCTTATACGCAGGGATGTGTGTGACGTTGCAGAGCGTTGTGTTGTACAGTCCTAAGAACTGCAGCGGCCTCTTCAGCTCCTGAAACGGGTAAATGCTGCTCTTACACAGCTCGATGCTGTAAAACACAAACACACACACTCAGACAAACACAGAGGGAGTGGCGCGTGATGGATGTGTGTGTGTGTGTGTCCTCACCTCGGCCGGCCCACAACGTCCTCAAACGCCGGCACCGTGCAGTTATCCAGCATGATGTGTCCAGAGATGTCCAGAGACACCAGATCGACCAAACTCTGAACGATACTGCTCAAGATCTTCCTCGTCATCTTGAATTTAGACGTTCTCTGATTCTCTCGTGAGATATCCAGGTGTCTGCAGACAGAACGGACGACACAGATTGCTGCTCTGTTCTATATACACTACCAGACAAACGCTTGGAACAATCACAATCTCTTCTGCTCACCAAGCCTGCATTTAATTTATCAAAAATACAATAAAAAGTAATCTTGTGGAATATTAATGATGCAATTTAAATCAGCTGTTTTCTATGTGAATATTTGTTAAAAATGTAATTGATTTCTGAGATCAAAGCTGAATTTTCAGCAACATTACTCCAGTCTTAAGAGTCACGTGATCCTTCAGAAACAAGGACGTATTAAATTGATCAAAAGTGACAGTAAAGACATTATTAAACAATGTTACAGTAGATTTCTATTCGAATAAATGCTGTTCTTTTGAACTTTCTATTCATCTGTGAATCCCGAAAAATAAAATGTATCACAGTTTCCACAAAAATATTGTTCAGCACAGCTGTTTTCAACATTGATAATAATCAGAGATGTTTCTTGAGCAGCAAATCAGCATATTAGAATGATTTCTGAAGATCATGTGACACTGAAGACTGGAGTAATGATGCTGAAAATACAGCTTTGATCACAGGAATAAATTACAGTTTAACAGATATTCACATAGAAAACAGTTGTTTTACATTGTAATAATATTTCACTATTTTTAAGTATTTCTGATCAAATAAATGCAGCCTCGGTGAGCAGAAGAGACTTCATTCAGAAAGATTAAACACTGTATTTATTCCAGTCTTTAAGCGCTAGTGTAAACGTCTCTCTCTGACCTCAATCTGCTCATCTGCAGCAGCGTGTGGATCAGCTCCTCCGTCAGCTCCACGTTATACAGCACCAGAGACGCCAGTCGCTCGCTCCACTGCGTGAGGAAGGCCGGTCGAGGCAGATGGACGGACGACAGGTCCAGCGAGGTCAGAGCGGGCAGCGGCCGCAGCAGCGTCTCCACGTCCAGCTCCGCCCGCAGGCCTCCCAGGTTCAGCAGACGCAGACGGTTGAAGCCCTGGAAGCTGAAGTCCAGGTCCACCGTGTGCCACTGCAGATGCTCCTCCAGATCCTCCTCGTCCTCCTCGTCGTACGC